TCCTTGAAAATGCAGATTTTCTAAAACATGGAATGTGATTCCCACATGGGAGAGAGAGAAATTTTTTAAATTTTGCCCAACCTACCTGCAGGGTTCGGCCATCCATATGATGGATCTCTCATCCCTTCAGTTCTAGCCACGTCGCCGCTGCTGGCCTTAAAACACTCTGCAACACCGCTCTTTCTTTGCCTTTGTTTAACATATCCAACTATCGCCGTTCACTACCAAAATTGGTTCTAGACCTGTCTTTTCATTATACTGCAATGCACAAATTGGGAGTTGCAGTTGATCCTACTTTTCTCGAATTTACTAAATCTTCAGCAACTTCTGCACAAATTGCCTCAAACCTCCTACGGCCAAGGGCGTAAACAACTCACTATTGCAGTCTTCAAAGGAAAAAAGGAAAACACATGATTACCAATTTGTGTCAACTCTAAACCACCGTCATCCACAACACCTCTAGTTGTGAAGACTGACCAAGATTAAAAACCTCTTGTCGAAACTCCTTTATTTTATCATCAACATGCCTTTGCAGATTCTCCTCTACTGGCGAAACTAAACTCCCCTCCTGCACCTCCTTATTGGAAACTGAACTTGCACCATATACCAGTAAGACCTCCACTGAATTGATAAGAACACAAGCTTCGCTTCCCTGTTCAGGTAAAACCGCACTATTGAAAGTTGATGCTTCTTCTTCCACTCTATTCTCTACAGCTGCCACTTCAACAAGAGCTTCCACCTTTACCCCTCTTACTTCCAACGCTTTCTGCGAAAACCCCACACACTTGTTGTGGAAAAAGGAGAACAAGGCTCGGAACCACCTCGACTAGATGAACACCTCTGTCCTGTGGCCGAATCTCTTTTTGGCATCCACACAAACTTCATAGAATTAGTTGAAAGGGGGTGAGGAGGAAGAAGAGGAAGGAGGATCTTATTTTTCTTTATTTTTAATAAAAATCTCTTATATTAAGAAGAATGAAGAATGCATAGCATTAGTTGAAAGAGGGGGTCTAGAAAAGGGATCGGGGGAGACTTTCTTTTCCCTTATCTTTCCTTCCCTTCCCTTCCCATCCCTTTCCTTTTCTTTCTTTTTCCCATTTTTCTTCTCTTTCTTTCTTTTTCTTTCCCTTCCCTTTCTTTTCCTTTCCTTTCTTTTCCTTTCCTTTCCTTTCCTTTCCTTTTTTTTCTTTTTTTTTAGTCTTTTTATATGAGGTGTGCATGAAGCACATGGGATGTACACCTTTTGCACCTGAGGCATACACCTCAGAGGTGTCAACACCTCTAGCATGTGCTTTAGGGTGTTTGGGGGCACCTCACCTAGAGGCATTGAGGCACGCCTTCAGGCGTATGCATCCTACGCCTTTTAAAATATTGGTTGAGACTTTAGAGTGTTATCTCAACACCCTTTAACTGCTCTATAATTTTTCCTTAATTCTTCTCTATTTATAAAAAAGACCATCTTGATCAAAGCTTGCAAACACATCCATGTTACAAAGTTGTTTAAGCATCCAAGGCCATGTTTGAGAGTGCTTAAAAATAAGTGCTTATTTGAAATAAGTGCTTATTTGGGTCGGGACCAAACCATTAAGCACTTATTGGTGATTGGTAAATAAGCCTGAAATAAGTGCTTATTTTAAAAATAAGGGCTTATTTTTTTAGCCCAAATTTCCAGCTTTTTTAAGTGCTTATACAATAAGAACTTATTCAATTTTTTTCTTCCAAAATTATCCCTAGTTGAATTTTAAAATACCACTTATAAAATTATCCCTAGTTGAATTTTATAAAAGTGCTTTCATAACAGTACTTTATAAAAGGTACTTTCGTAAAAGTGCTTTTTTTTATCAATCTTTTAGTACTTCCGTAAAAGTGTTTTTATTGAAGTGCTTTTCTAAAAGTGCTTTCGTAAAAGTGCTTTCATAAAAGTGCTTTCACAAAAGTACTTTTATAAAAGCACTTTCATAAAAGTGATTTCGTAAAAGTACTTTCATAAAAGTGTTTTTATAAATGGTAATCTAATAAAAGTACTTTCATAAGGGTATATTTTGAAAATTTGAAAGAAAATGAAGGACAAGACTACCAAACGCCTAATATGAAATAAGTGCTTTTTTTTAAATAAGTACTTGAAAAAGTTGGATGTCAAATGCAAATAAGTGCTTATTCAAATAAGCACTTGTTTTTAGCACTTATTTTTAACATAAGCACTCCCAAACATGGCCTAAGTAGCAAACTTAGGCATTCCTTATCACTGGAATCTTTTTAAGGTACCTCACACCTTGTCATTCTTTATCAGTTCCTTTTCATATCAAAAGAAAGGCATCCATCTAAGCTGTAAACATAATGTTTATATACTTTCTAGGATGATCACTCTCAAAGGATTTTCCAGGAGAATTTTTTTTTCCTAACCCGGAAAAAGATAAGAACTGATCACTTTACTTGTCTTACCACAAAACTGATTCACTAAACAAAGAAAAAAAAATGAATGCAAGTTAGGAAATACACTGAGAAAGGAGGAGAAAACAATGAAAGCAATACCTAGTCGATCAATGACAGCTGAAAAGGCACTGATAGCCTGAAATTGGTATACGATGAGGGAAAAATCTCCAAGGATATGATTAAAAGCAGAAACAGACTGGTTGATGACTCCAAATTCAATTTTTCCAGAGAAGTACATTGGAGCAACAACTGCAGCAGGCAGAATCTGAATCAGGTAGCGATAACCATTTGTGAAGAACTCCAGATTTCTAGAGGAAATCAACAATTTCTGCAAAATAAACAACAAAACTCATCAAGATAGGATAAAATCATAAGCATTCATTCAGGAACCTAGTGCTATACTCTACTAAAACCACAAAATCTTTCTACAATGCCATCCTCATGTAGCCAGCCCCATATAGTTGGGATAAGGCTTAGGTGATGGTGATAGGTTTCTTTATATAGGTAGTGGAAGATTCCATTTGGATGGAAAAAGAGTTTATCAAATGTAATTAAAATGCATAATTTTGAAGTAAGGACAGAAATTGTTTGGAACCTAACATTCTGAATGCCATTAAAAGAGACTGAAGAATCTAAACAATTGCTAAGAGGCACACCTAAACCCCAGAAATGAATACCAAACTTTTGAAAATTAAAGAAATGTTATGCTTAAGCCTTCTGTTGTTGAGGCCACAACCATGGTGAGTACTAAGCCTTGGCCTAGTGGGGTTAAAAGTGGTGGCAGTGAGAATAGAGAAGAGAAGAAGGACCTGGTGTGTTGATCACTGCAAGAAGCCAAAGCACACCAAAGACACTTGTTCCACTCAAGAATATCTTTTGATCTCTGCCCCCCCC